GAAGATCTCGAACTGCGAAAACAAGAGATCTCATCCACGGGATGAAAGGGCGGCATGGATCACGTGGTGAAGCCATGCCGAGTATCAAGTGCCTCCCGCTGTGGCTCGGAACAGGTTATTGTTTGCCAGATTCAATTCCAAAGCGCAATGAGCGGTCGCCGCCCCTTGATTTGCGCACTCTCAGTGCTTCTCTCTGCTGGCCTGCGGCAAAATGCCGACGCGCCTTCCGCACTTCAAACGTCCAGCAAAACCGCAGAGCCGAGCTTTGATCTTTGCGAAGATGCCTTGGCGAAGGCTATTGATTTTGAAGCGATGAGCGAGGACGGGAAGGGAAAGTCGGAGTCGGACTCGCGAGAGGGTTGCATAATCGGGGCGATCGACTGCAACGTAGCTTTTAGTGCTAGGAGGCCGAGCAGGCGACTGAGATTGATGAAGACGCCTGCATGGCAACATGTACCTCAGCCTGCACCAACAAATGCGTCTATGAGCCAACCATGAACCAGATGCAGCAAGACCTGCAGAGGATTGCCGGCTCAGCCGTATCAGGCCTAAGCTTCATACCATGCAACGTGACCTTGAAAGTCGCTGCTGCTGAAAAGCACTTTGAGACGAGTTGCCTTTCCGCGTGCACGACTTCCCCGGAAGTGCGGGAGCAGTACATCTCGCTGCTGCGTGATGATGTCAGCAGTGGCCTTTGCGCCGATGTTCCTGATGAAGCTCAGGATGAATGCAGTGTCGTCCCCTGGCACCCATGGCAGTCGATGTGTGTGTTTGTGCGTGTGTCAGAAGTTAGGAAGCAAGACACATCACGCATGAGTTATTTGAAGTGTTTGACATGCCTGAGGAAATGGTAGTTGGCTGAGACACTGAGAGGGCAGGGTGCTCTTTCGAGAGAAGGTCTGTTTTGCGCCAATGAAAAATTACGTCGCCTCAGCTGTGAGATTTGCCTTTGGGTTTGTTGCCGGACAACATGTTTATCATGCGAAGTGGTGCCTGAGAACTGCAACGCAGACAAGTCTTGGTGCTGTGTGCGCTTCCGGTTGGCTGCCAGTTTCCCGGGCTGCGGGCAAGCCGACAATCGCTGAACTGCGCCTTGCGTTTCTGCGGCCAACATTGCACCACGAGCCGAAAAAGCCAGAGCCGAGAATAGATGGGACAACAAAGGCCAACATTTGCCTGCGCACTCGCCCTAGTAGGAATGGCAGAAGTCCATGTTCCCACTTTTGCCATGGTAAATGCCCTCAAGATGGACAAGGCCTGGCTGAACATCTTCAGGATAGTGTGCCAGAAGAAAGGATAGAGTTGGCAGTTCGGCAGAGCTTGAGAGCCGTACAGGCACCTGATCCCCGTGTCTTTGCTGTCCAGGCGGGGCCGGCCAATGTTGCGCATGCAACCGGGGGAACCAGGGATGTATGTAATATATATATATATATACACATGAATATGCTCATATGTGTGTATATATATATATCTATAAATATATATATATATGTTTGCCTGTTACTTCGACTCCCGGCCGATGCACAGAGAGCGTCTCGCAGGAGCTTGGGGACCTGGCAGCGGAGGCCTCCCTGGCGGAGCTGCGGGGCTGCAACGGCCGAGTCAGGTGCCGCGAAGTGAGCTGTTTGAATGACTGTTGCGTGTGGCCGTCCTGACCAAAGCTCCTAAGACAAATACTGTCGGGCGGGTCACACCCGGGTGCCGCGCTGAAGTGGAAGTCGTCATTACCGCTTTGCCGCAGGCAGCTGCTGGAAGCAGAGCAGCAAACTGCCAAGGAGTTGGAGCTCGCATTGGCCAAGGTACCAGGTTTGCGATGTGTGCCCGCATGGGCAGCGGGATTGGTTGAAAGGCAGATGTCCGCAAAGGAATGCTTAGTCATGAGTTGGCTCGCTTGGCTTCGTGCAGGCGCGTGCAGAGAACGCATCGACCAGGCGCGGGAACGGACATGAACGGACGGCGCGTGCCCGGCCGAGCAAGTCCTCTTTTTGCCCGGTCGCACATGCGGTTTTCGTCCCGCCTGCATTCTTCATGCGCCCGAAGCGCGGAGTTGTGATGGACATAGGGGAGCATGTGAGCGGCTCGGGCCAGGCAGTGCCTGGAGCAGGAGCTGCATGAGGCAGCTGTTGCCAAGGAGCAGCTGCAGGAGGCGAGGGCCAGAGGCTCAAAAGAGTGAGAATGGCCCAATTGCTGCGTCTCAAAACTACTTGTAGCAATCCCCACCCCCTCAAAAATGGAATTGGGGCAGGGGACCCTGGAATTTCATTTGTGGTCCATTTTCCCTTTTATGGGGGAAGACTAGATAAATGGAATTGGGGACCCCCACACCCATTCCCCTTAAGGTAGGGGGGATCTTGAGGCGTCACATGCGGCGCATGCCGCACGTTCTGGCAACTTCAGAGTTGCTTCTGGCTGGCAAGGGGGTAATCAACAGCCAAGTGTTCGATAACACGGGCAGTGCATACAGAGAGGTAGACTTGGCACTGAGGGTGGTTGGTGTTGCGAGAGTGGCCCGCTGTGTAGCTTGCGCCAATCCTGACCCCCGACTTCAGGCAAAGAAGAAGCGGAAGGAGAGCCAAAAGCAGTTGCAGGCAGGGCCTTGGTACGCTGCACGGCGTCGGCTGCTCTTCTCCTTGGGCCCCTTGTTGAGACGCACGTACGAGAGCGGGCGGCTTCAGACTTTAGCTTAGCGAAAGCCTTGCGCCTTGGGTTTGCCCCTGCGGGCTGACTCTGGGGCCATTTTGTGGATCAGCGCCAATGCCAAGTGGTGCTTTCACTTCCGCCGAGCGTGAGCGCGGGTTTCACGTGATATGAAGCTTAGTCAGACGTCTGGTCAGTTCAGACTTTGCAAGAGGGCTATTGGCAGCCCAACACTGAAGGCTAGCCCAAGCTTGAAGAGTAAGTCCAAGAACCGTTCTTTTTCCCTGCTTGAATAGATATGGTCATGGTCTCCTTGTGGGCAACAAGTTTCTCGTGGACCACTCCAAGCTAGACCTGCCTTCCAGCTTCCATCGGACGTTCTGGATCAGAACCCTCGGGTCCTGCGATAAGAGTCGAAGCAGAGAGAAGAAGAACAGACTTGTCACGAAAGCTAGCTGTGCCAGCGGGATTTCTCTAAGCTTTAGCTAGCTTCCCACGATGCCTGATTTAATCAGGGTTTGGGAGGGGGGGGGGCAAAAAAGCCTTTGCAAGACCAAATCCGTACCTAGGGCACCCCACCCACCCAGGGGCTTGACTCCCCCCTTTGCCGCCCCACTGAGTCGTACATGTCGTCGTTGGGCTGGCTAGGCTAGCTTTCGTTCACCCGCCTCTCAGTATAGAGAGTTTAGGGGGACGGGACATGCGACAAGATCGACAAGCATTTGCCCGTTCGCCAGGAGTGTGAGAGGGCGGATATGGAAGGGACAGATCCTCAGAGGCACCGCCTCCAGGACTTGCTGTCACAGGCACGGACCCTCATCGCCAGCAACGGGGACCGAGCCGCGGGCGCCAACAAGCTGAGCCTGGCGCAGGCTCGGGAAGCAGCAAGCATGGTGCAGCAGTTGGAGGGCCTGGGCTACGCGGACGATGAGCTCTACAGGGCCTTGCTGCAGCTTGGTTTGCAGAATTTAGAACGGCACTTGGAGCATGACCATCCTGAAGTGCTGGCATGCGCACAGTCGCTGGCAGTGTCGCTGGAAAATCTGGGCGACAAGAATACTGCCGTGAAGTTCTACCAGCGAGTGTTCGAGTCGCGCAGCCTCCGCCTTGGCAAGGAGCACCCGGAGACTTTGGATTCGGCCTACAACCTAGCTGTTTGCTTGCGTGGGCTGGGCCAAGTGGATGAGGCGGAAGCACTCTTCAGGGCCACCATGCGCGGTTGTCAGAGCGCCTTCGGGAATCAAAACCCCGGCACGCTGGAGAGCGCCGAGCAGCTCGCCGAGATCCTGGAGGCCAGGTCGGAGCTTGTGGCCGCCTGGGGGCTTCGCCGCCAGCTGCTGGAGTGGTATCGAGCTGCCTACGGAGAGGAAGACCTCACCGCCCTGGGTGCTTTGTCCAAGCTGGCGAACGTGCTGGCAGCAGCTGCAGTGGCTGGCAGCGCCAGCCCGCCAGCGGCAGCAGAGGCCTTGAGGGCTGCTTACTCCCGGCACAAGCAGGTCTTGGGCCTCGGAAATCTGGACACCTTGAGCACGGCCAAGGATATGGCGACCTTTCTGTCCGGGTGTGGCAACGACCCGGCATCTGCGGAGGCTGTGCTGCGCGAGTGCGTGGATGTTTGCTGGGAGCAATTGGGCGCGTGTGCGCCAGAGACACTTACAAGCGTGGAGAACTTGGCAGAGCATTTGGAGAGCAAAGGCCGAATTGCCGCCACCTTAGCATGCGTTTCCTGGTGGCACGCATGACCCTTGGTGAGCCACGAAAGTCCTAGGCTTTAGCTTATTTTTGGGGCGGCCCACAATGCCTCACTTTAGTGAGGCTTGCAGACTCGGACCCTGTGCTTGCTGAATTGGAAGAGGAATCCGCACCCTCAGCCCTTACAGCTGGGATCCACGCCTCATCAGGATTGCAGCTTTTTCTGCTCTGCTTTTTGCTTTCTTACGCGCTTAGCTCCTTGCCCCTTTTCTTCATTCTTCCTGCTTTGTCCATGCTTCCTCGCGCTTTGCACCCTTTTGTCCGCCTTTTCTTAGCTGCCAACTCCCCTCCGCGCTTTGTCCGCTTGTGCATGCTCAAGCGCCTCCAACATGATGTTTGCGTTGTGCAATGGCAATTTGCGGAAGTTTGTGCCCTGAACAGCATTGGAGCCCTTTGACAGCAACCGACTGCCGCTTCAAGCGCTTCAACTTCTTGAGGTGGAGGCTGATACAATTCTTCGCCGACTCGCAAATGCACAGCGTGGGGACCTCCATTCCACCGCAAAGTCGGGTTGATGTACAGCTGGAGAGAGAGATTCACTTGACAGTCTTTAGCGCGCACGCGCCGGACAGAGGCAATTTTCGCGCTGCCCACAGGGTGTCGCGGCAGTGAAATATCGTGAGGGATGATGCACCTGTTATTGGTCTGATTGCGTGCACGGATAGAGGGTAGGCTTACTGTTCAATATGGTGTTACACACATTGTCTATCACAGTAGTGAGCAACATGGCACGCTTGCTTGCTTGCTAGCTAGCTAGCTGCACAACCACGTAAACACACAAACAACCACAACCACAAACACAACCCCACCAAAAACACACACACAAACAACAAAGACAAAACAAGCAAACAAACAAACAAAGAAACAAACAAACAAGCAACTCAAGAAACACACACACACACACAACCAGGCTAACACATAGCCACACGCGTAAACACACACACACACACACACACCAACACAAACTCACACACACACACACAAACACGCAAACAAACACACGCACACCCACACAGCCACCAAACCACACAAACGCACACGCGCAAACACGCAAAAAACAAGCACACCCCGAGGTGTTCACCCATTTTGGAAACTCACCCATGTCGAAGGAGACGTGATAACCCCAAACAGCAAGCTTCGTGTAGTTTGCATCTCGCAGCATAGGTAGCCCACGCTAATGCATGTGTAGCTCTACGGTGAGAGGGATTCTTGGTAGATCCAGAATGGCCACACGGCACATGCGCGGTTGTGAACCTGCATGACAGTCTTGCCTGATTTCTTGACACGAGGGTCACAACCTAGCATCTCCAAGCAATTCATGCCATGAGCGGTTCGCCGTCGGCACTTGCGAACTTCTACGCGCACTAAGTTCCACAGTTGGCCACCCTGCAGAAGCTTCCACGCGCGATCTTGCGCACTCAGCTTCGCGCGAGCTGAGAAAGCTGTCGCACCACCGCATCTCTGTCGTTTGCCTGCCCATGTTCTCGACGAGCCCCAGCAGCTCAGGAGCAGCGCGCTTCTCCCGCGCGCTGAAGGCGGACGTTTCGTCTGGATCTCGCTGCTGCTGGCCGCGCCGAAAAGGGCCTTGGTGTCCGCCACGAGCACGCCTGTTGTCTTCCAGCTCCGTCGGATATCCACACATCTCACTCCACTGAGTCCGGATGAACATCACGTCCTGTCCCCGGCCCACACCATCGTGCCAATCAGATGTGGGGCGCTCAACAACAACAGCAACAGCAACAGGAGCAGCAGCTGGAAGGAATCCACAAATACAAGATATCACCACCACGGTTCACAGGAGAATGCAACACCTCGAGGAATGGAAATTCAAGATGACAGCATACCAGCGTACTTGGGACTGCAAGACCCAGCACACAACAGACTGCTGAGACAGTCAGAGCAATCAGTAGGACAAGCGACGAACTGGAGAATGCGAGTTGGAGCTCCCATGTTTTGAAGCTTTGGCGGAACTCCTGTTCATCCAGCTGTGGTTTTAGTAGCCGTGTGTTGCAATCTTGACCTCGTCTAGTAGCAGTGTGTTGTTGTCTTGTTCATACTTGAAAGCTCCTTCATAACAAATGGCAGAGCGTGGGATACAACTGAGCAACAACCTACACTACCTCTTGGTGAGCACGTGCGATGGACCAGCATCTACAATACGCAGACAAGACGGTTTCGAGACATGGCGACTGATCCATGCCAGGTACTCCATACCTCTTGGCTGCACCCAGGATGTTTTCTGGTCGGTCGCGTTTTCGCTTGCGCTTGCAACAACTGCGTGTGTGTGGATGGATCTTTTGAGGCCAACAGCCCGCGGATCCGTTCTCACCTTGCTCAGGCGACCGCCTTTCACTGACTCTTTGGCGTGACCTTATCGCGACCAGCCCGGCCCTCAGTGCGTCTCGCGCCTGTGTTTGGAGAACGGCAGCATGCTTTTCGCATGCGACGAGTATACATTTTTTGATACATATGAGATGATAAAACATGTTGGCGCCTGAGTTGCAAAAAAAATGTCTTGCCGGCGTGGGCTCTATAAGATCTTGGCCCCTGAGAGCTTGGCCCTTTTTTGGCACCCGCCTAATTGCTGGTTTGGATTGGTGGTTTGGGGATTGAACCCCTGGATCATGTTGAAGTTGAATGGGAAACCACCCCCTAACCTCCAAAACACCAATCCAAACTACCAACCCAAACCGGGCCGGTAGCAACCCGGGGTGCCCAGTCCTGCAACCACCTCCTGGCCGCGGGAGCGGCGGGGCAGCGCCGAGACAAGCGCGTGACAAACCGTTTCCCACTGGCTCGCTCCACTGGGTGAGGGCGCCAGGGGACAAGCGGCCAGCTGCCGCGTGCAACTGGGGCACGCGCAGCCGAGAGCTCGCACGCGCGTTCTTGCAGCCCGTCTGCATCACGACTCTCGGGCTCGGAGTCGGACGCGTGCACGTGCGCAGGCGAAGCCTGTGGCATGTCGACATCAGAATCCGGCGCGCTGCGCGCCGGAGGTGTGTCTTCTTTTGTCACTGTCTCTCTGTCGGTGTCTTTCTCTGTCTCTCTTTGTCTGTTGGTCTCTCTGTCTCTGGTATCTGTTTTCTTTTTCTGTTTGTCTGTCTGTCTGTCTGTCTGTCTGTGTCTGTCTGTCTGTCTGTGTCTGTCTGTGTCTGTGTCTGTCTGTGTCTGTTTGTGTCTGTGTCTGTGTCTCTGTTTCTCTGTGTCTCTGTGTCTGTGTCTGCCTGTCTGTGTCTGTCTGTCTCTGTGTGTCTGCGTGTCTGTGTCTGTGTCTGTGTTTGTGTCTGTGTCTGTCTTTGTCTCTGTGTTTATTTTTGTCTTTGTCTTTGTTTGTCCCTAATGTATTAGTGCTCCTGATTTGGTTCGCCCCCTCTTGGGCTCTTCTTCTGCCAGAAGAGGCTTCTGAGCTGTGGGAGGGAAAGGTCTTAGGATTGCTTCTTTTCTCTTCTAAATCTAAATCTGGGCTCGGCCAGCCTGATAAACTGCTCATACGGGGCAATGCAAAAGCAGCTATCCGTGCTCCACATCTAGAGATCTGGCCACTTGCCTTTCAAAAGCGCTCCAAAGCCCGCGCTAGCGCGCCCCTCTTGGCCACGTGCTAAATCTTCTTTTCAATAGAGATTAAAACCCTAATGTATCAGTGCTCCTGATTTGGTTCGCCTCCCCTTGGGCTCTTCTTCTGCCAGAAGAGGCTTCTGAGCTGTGGGAGGGTTAGCAGCCATTTGTGCTCCACATCTGGAGATCCGGCCACTTGCCTTTCAAAAGCGCTCCAAAGCCCGCTTCTTATCGGGCCTCGCTAGGGCTGGAAGACATGGCAGCCATCAATGTGTCTTGTTCGCACGGCTTACCGCGTCCAATTTACAAAGCTGCTTTGGATTGTTTTCGTTCTGCCTGAAGCTGCTTGACACCTAAACTTTCAGTCTTCGTTGCGCAGCACCCCGTTTGTCTATGTCTGTTTGTTTGTGTTGTCTGTTTGTGTCTGAGTCTGAGTCTGTGTCTCTGTGTCTTTGTGTCTCTGTGTCTCTGTGTCTGTGTCTATTTGTTTGTGTCTGTTTGTGTTTGTGTTTGTGTTTGTGTTTGTGTTTGTGTTTGTGTGTGTGTTTGTGTTGTGTGTGTGTTAACACAGAGACACAAATAAAGACATTCAAATACAGAGACATAGATATAGTTGTATAGATTGTTTGTTTGTTTGGTTGGTTGGTTATTTATTTGTTTTTTTGTTTATTTGGAATTGATATTGTATAAGTTAAGGCTTATGAATTAATTGATATTGTATAAGTTAATTGTCTTGAATTTATAAAATTTAGGGTTTGTTTTTGTTATTTAAAGAATTATGATAATTTTGATGGAATTTGAGGATATTGTGTTTAGGTATATAATATTTTAGAGTAAGGTTTAATGTATTATGTTTTACATTGTATAGATTGTATTATTTTAAATTTTGAATAATTTAGAGAGAGAGGTTGTTGATATGTATTATTGGGATATGAAATTCGAATTGGTTTGTTTTGGTTGAAAGATTTAATGGAGGAATAAGAAATAAATTAAACGAAATTAGTTTAGTTTTATTTGTATTTAGGATGTGTTTTGGTCGATGGTAATAATTATTTTTTGATTTTAATAATTTATAGGTTTATTCTTTTTTTGTTTAGACGATTTTTTTTTAATTGATATCGGGCATTTGAAATACATTACGGATTTGTGTATTATAATGTTTTATGAAATATATTGAGGTGTATTTCTAGATTTGGGTTTTTAATTTAATATAATATATAATCTATTGAAATATATTATTTGGATAGGGTTCGAGGCAAAGCCCTAAAACCATAATTATGTATTTTCGAAATATTCCGAAATTATTTTATAGAGGCCGCGAAGGGAGGGTAGGATTTTATTATCTTTTTTTTATTATTTTTTTTTTATTTAATTTTTTTTTTTTTTTTATTTTTTTTTTGTTTTTTTTTTTGTTAGGGGAACATTTTTTTTTTAATGAATCGTCATTTCAATACATTACGGAATAGTATTTGGTTCGGGTTCTTTCGGGTGAATATGTAGATTTTAAGTAAAGTACTAGATTTATTGTTTTCTGTTTGGTTATTTTACATTAGTAGTTCATGTAATTATAAAGTTATAACCCCCCATCCCATCAAAATCTATCACCGTAAAGACAAGATTTGTGGAGGGTTGTGATACTCATTTATTCTACGAGCGTCCTGAAATAGCTTCTGTAGAGTTGGGGATTCCCATTTGCCCGGCACAAAGTCCACGGGGACAAGTCCCCACACAACAAATCCACGTCTGTGCTGGTTCATACGATAAAACGTCCCCCCACTGCCCCGCCCAACTCAACCTCGTCCCCAGCAATCTCCTACCCGAAACTCCGCCAGCCCCCGCCTCCTAGAAACCCACAACCGTCCCCTGCCCACAACCCCCAGCCAGCAGACAACAACACCCTCCACATTACTATATCGACCAGAATCCTGCCAATACTACCTCTCGTCTAATAATTACTAAATACCATTAATAAAAAAATACATCTCCGATACCCCTACGCACCCTATGGCTTAACTCCAACCATTCACCCATCTATTTTGAACACACAACTCCCTAT